TATAACTATAACTCCTTCTCAACTTGCTGTTAGGGTCTAATAGGGCGGGATTCCATTCCCCATTAAGCCTGGGCTTTTGGGATCAATGGTTGGGTCCTTAGCATAGTCACCCCTTAAATGGATTTAAAACTAATGAGTCCCTAGTACTTAATTACACAGTACAACTGTGTTACATTGTGGCATACGGGAAAAGACTAAACAACAGCATAATTAATCATCTATAGTTTTGACCATTTAGATAAAATTCAGGTGATGACATAAAATTTTTGGGCTACAATTGGTACGTGGGAAATATGTGTGGAAAGGAAATGGTGATGGAAAATTCTTAGCAAGATAAGCTAGCATTAATTTCACCAGGGCTTTATTTTATCCAATGTAGTTGTTTTGGTAGTAGATATTATACTGGGTTGTATGTTTTTTCTGTTTAAATGTAGCCAATAGGCTCCTACCACTCATAGAGTTTGTTTACCCTCTATATCTGCATATGTGCTTTTTGCATTGCTCAAGGATTTTAGTTAAGACATCATTTTCCTTTCTATTGTCTTCCCTCCTTCCCTCTTTTAAGTTCTATACAATAAAATCACCAGCCTCTCTGAGTCTATCATGGAATCAAAGCTTGGAGTTTGGTCGGCTATATTTGGTTTTCAGGAAGCTATGGTATTTAGAAGGAGGGCTTCCGCCCCCACTGATACCAAGTTTTACTCATAGTAAGCATGGGAAGATAAAAAGTAAATAGAAAGCAAACATAAAAGATAGAAAGCTGAGGCTTCAAACCATTTCCACATCATCACGCTCCTCCTTTAATACACTCAATAGTACTGGAAATCCTGCAACAAGTCAAGTAAAGGGAATAAATCACATCACAATGAATGAGCATTAGCAGAACTTGAAAGGTGAGCAAGCCCGTTAAGAAAGAAATAACCAACCCATCGCCCCAAAAGCCAACTGTGCAGCACGACTTTCAGTCACGACAGACTGGAGTTCAACAATGGCAATCCTCCTATCCTCAGCCAGAACACCGTTGCTAATGCGGTCAAGCAAGCGCTCGACATAACTATTGATACATGACATGAATTCAATTAGCATGACCCAATTGCTAAGCATAAAACATCTAACAGCTTCATAAGAGAATTATTGAGTTAGTATGATTTTAAATTCCATGGAAATCAAAAAGGTCTGCCCCCACCCACCCACACGCGCACACAAAAAAAAAAAGTAAAAATAAAATATCACTTGTGGGCTACAATAATTGATAAGATAAGACGTGAAAATTTACATTTAACAAGTGAGGGTGACAACAATTGAGGATAAATTAAGGAAGAACGATTTTGGTGGCTGAAACATGTTTAACGTTGCCCTAAAGAGGTTGTTGTTCATAAGAGTGATGCGACTTTAGTAGAACACATTAGAAGAGGGAGGGGTAGTCTGTTGTTAATACTTATTCCACAATCTAAAGAGAAAATTGCAAGGGAGAAAATCACTCTTTCCTTTGATAGTCTAAATGAAATACATTCTTCCTCCAAGTGAGAAAACAGTAAATTAGAATAATTCATGGGAAATTTTTATTATAAAGAAATAAAAATAATGGATATTCAGCATTCAGCTATGTACTTGAGAGAGAATGCAATGTTAGGTAAGAACAAAGAGACCCTCTGCACCAAAAAAGTTCCCAAATAAAAACTTGAACATGGTAGTATCACCCATATCACCAACGGGCCTTGGGTAGAAAAGAATCAAAGTATCAGCATATCTGTTTTTAAGCCTCATAAACAAAAAAGGAATAAAGAAAAATGACATTACAAATAATCCTCACTGATGCAAAAATTAAGAAAAATGATATTATATATTAAGTATATACTCGTATTCAGCATCTATAGCTCGCAAACAACACTAAATATTTGGAGAACAAAATAAATACCTATCTTCATTTGAACCCGAGTTCTCATTTCCGAAGACACGCCCTACAACACCCTGCATTATAAACCCCTTCACATTAATCCTATTTTCAACAGAAAATGAAAACAAACATAATATAAAAGAGAAGCTGAAAAAACAAAATATTATAAATATGCATTACAATTTCAGTCAATGACACTTCTCATTAAACCGTTACACTAAAAATAAACATAAAAACTAAAAATAATACTTTCCACTTCAAGCAACTTCGAAAATGAATAATGTATGCCCACATAACTACAATTAGATCACATTAACTTCTTTTCTTAAATGTTAACCCAGAAGCATAGCTGAAAATGGAACAAACACTTCAGACTAGAACTATCCTTAGAACCAGCTTACAGGCTGCCACAAATCTTAACTTAGCGCCCCAGGATATAATTAGAGTCGTTACGGAAAATATAGTAAATTTAACGTAAAATAAAGAGGAAAATTACCTGGTATTTAGATACTAAATCCATCAAATCAGATCACTTTAATTTCTGGAATGCATTACAAACAAGAAACCTTTAACTTAATTAGCAATTAACAAGCAAAAGAAGTCAAAGCTCCCGATGAAAATGATGAGTAACAATATCGGGAGAATAAGCGTGTATCAAAGGAGAAGAATCAGATCACACTGAAAGAAAATAATAAAAAAAAAAATAGAAGCCCTAATTAGCAAAAATAAAAAGAAAAGAAAATTGATGTTACCTGAGAGAGAGAGATCCGCGAGAGAGTCGGATCAAAAATTGGATTGCATATTAGCAGCTGGAAATACGAATTAACTGAGAATTGCATTATTGATCTCCAATCTATTATTTTATTAACAAGTTGGTCCATAACATTTGAAATAGAGCAAGTCAGTCCCAAACATTAATGGAAACACGTCTTACCAGAGGTGAACAAAAAAAATCCTATGAACCTTCAAGTGGTTTAGATTTTGACAGCACCAAAACCGTTACAAAGTGGTTTGTTTTTGGTTTCATTAGTTAAAAAATCACTTGGACCCAAACCAAAGGGTTTACCTAATTTTTTTTTTACTTATGTTTACCCAAATATATAATTTAGGATAATTCTTTTTGTACATTAGGGGTGTTATAATGTTTTCCATAATGGACATATGGCAGGGCCAACACACCCTCCAATGGTGGAGTGCCATGTGTCCATTATGGATACCATTATAGCATCCCTAATGTACTTGTAGCACTTCCCTATAATTTATTAAATTAATTATATTTCACCAAATTTACTTGCTAGTCGACTTCTGTTAACCGTTTAAGGGTTTGCTTGGTACAACTTATTTGAAAATTATTTTTTTCTCAAACTCGTTTTTAATTTCACATTTGCCCAATAAAAGATTGGTACTTCGACTTGTAAGTTTTCCCTATTTTTTAACCACAAATTCTTCAAAAAAAAAATCAATTTTAACTTCAATTGATCTCTTCTAAACAAACATTAAGGTTTTTTCTTATCTAAATAATGAAATGACAAGTTTAAATTTTATGGTTGATCATTGTATTAATTTATTGATTTAAGATTTATTGGAATAAATATCAGTGTTTTAAAAATAAGATCGGACCGGACGGTTCAACCGAAAAAATCGAGAATTGGGACCCTCTAATTTAAAATCATCTAAAAAACTATTGAAATGACAAGTGTAGACAAACCCCGTGACATGTTACCGATTTAATGGTTTAGAATTAATGCATTGAAATCTCAATTATGTGAAAAGGAAACCTCATTTTTACCTTCGATCCATCTCTTTCTCTTCCCCATGCCGTTGAATTCAAAACAACATCTTTTCTTCCGTGTTTTTGTTTGATTCTTAATTCGAAGTTCTAATTCTTGGCTGATCGTGTTGTTCGATATTGGTTACAAAGGTTTGAGCTTCAATATTATAGCAGGTTTGATTTTAATTCATTGTGTTCCATTTTTTCATAATTCCTTCGAGATTCAATTAATTTAGGGATAAGATTTTGTTTTTTCTTTCATATTTTGTAGGTTTCGCATAATCTATTGGCTTTTTTTTTTTTGACATTTTCGCATCTAATTTCAGAAATTTGGGAAATTTATTTGGTTAAACAATACAAACATACTTTTATGAATTCCAACAGACTCTCGGTTGTGACCTATTGTGACATGGAGAATGGTGATTGTGCCGGAAAATATCTGGAGAAAATTATCAATTCATAGTCTTGATTTATTCTCTTGATATGCTTAGAGATATTAATATTAGGGAGACATATTTAGAAAGGAAGATGATGACATACAGAAAAATCAATTATCCTTTAATAATCACCAATTCATGTTACAATCTTATCTCATATAAATCAATTATTATCTATTTTTATATAAAAAAAGCTTGAATTATGATCTGAATAATGAAATTTTTTCCCAAACATTGATATTTCTAAAAAGATAATAATAAAGTACGATAATTACGATTTTTTTTTCTAAAATAATTATAGTTGTTATGACTCACATTTTCTGAAAGTCAGACTCGATCAATCCAAGAAAAATAAGCTCAGCGCGACCCAAAAATTGGCATCTTTTGCAACAATAGATAGCTGTTTCTTTCATTGGATTGATTGTAATCCGTTATTTTTGTCATTCCCCGTCAATGGTGACTGAATGAATAAGTACATCTTGTTCTCGACAACGATTTCTATCGTAAAATTCCATCAAGAGGGACTCAAAAGATTAATTTTTCCCTCATATTATTAAATAAACACACAAACACACACAAAATTGTAACTAAATATTTGTCTCTCATTTAAAAGCACACTTACATAATTTTTGGACAAAAGGCAAGATTTGGTCACTATGGAAGGTTAATGATTAGGGTGTGATGAAAAAATATTAGGGATATAATGTTTCAATAAATAAAGTAAAGAACCTTGAATAATTAAAATGTCGTGCTGTGTTCCAGTAATTTCTTTGGTGAAATTGTTGTTTTTTTCAAATTTTTTTTTTTTATCTTATGGCAAAATTATATTTTTAATCAGATTAATGCTTATAATTCCAAAGCGCCTTCTTTGATACGAAAACTTAAATTAGAGATAACCTCACTTAAATATTTTAATTGTAAAATAGCTAGGGGATGAATAATAACAATAATAATTATAAGTCTTTTATGCCGTACAAAGTGAGAAATAATCTTTTATTCATCTTATTCTTCACTGATATCGAATAATAAGTGTGTTTTTTTACACTCATATTGGACACGAGCTAATATTGATGAAATGAGTGATCTCTACTTACAATTGTTTAATTGTGATTTTTGTCAATTAAAATTATAAATGTCCTCATTTGAGTATGATATAAAGCCATACGCATGATGACGAGTCACAAAAGATCCATTTCAATGCGAAGTGGGAAATAAAATTTTGACGTCGTGGGACATTGCCAAATGGTTACTTTTACGAGGCCGTGCCGCGTAAATTACTTTAATGGGTACCTTTCCCTAGCTGGATATTTGATAGCAGTCTACTATTTTTGTGATATGATAAACGCAATGGTACAACTACAGTAGCACACCCTTTTTACTGTAAAATAAGAAACGAAATATCACCTCTTATTACTAATGTAGTTGAAGTGACATGATATATTCATCATTCTAGATATCGATCACATTACTTAACTATTGATTGATCAATAAATTTATGGTAGGTCTTAAGAATTAAATGATCAACCAACGTTACTTAATAGATCATTTTTTTCTTAAATTTTATATTGCTAATGTCGTATTTGAATTGAGTCTAGATGTAAAAAATTACTTCTATTACTTAGTCTAACTCTAGCTAAGCTATTGAACTCTTTTCACAAAGTTAATGCAATTGATTGTGTTTTAATCGATATAGAGATATAATAGATTAAACCAATCGATTATGACTAATTTATCTCTCGAGAGATAATTCGTTAAAATAAGAAAATCAAGTTTAACATATTAAATGAGTAATTTATTAATTTGTTTGTGGAGAAATTAATTAGGCGATAGTTATGTAAAATCATAAATTCCAACTGCTTTATCCTCTCAATCCTCCTTAATCTTTTGATTTGTACTTTCTGTTATTATTTTTAAAATCAAAATCTCCGAGTGTCATATTTTTAGAATTAAATAAAAACATTTCTCAAGGAATTGAGTCGAACTCATAGTCCAATTTATTACTTAAACGCGATCCGTACACTTGCAATTTGTAATTTTAGCAAACACCGAACATGTGTCAAAATCCAAATTTGACATCTCGAGCAAGAAGATGATCTCCCCTTGTTCAATATGTACATGGATATGACAAAATATTAGTGACAACATAATGGCCCGCTTTCCTTTTGCACCTCAAATTTATCCATCACTAGTTCAAAATTTTCTACCGAGTGCAGAAAAATGCTGCTATGTACAGACACAAACGAGAGGATAATGCAAGGGATATTCCATAAATTGGCATAATCCTCCTTCGTAAACATACAAAATAGTCCTACATTGACTCCAAATGTGGTTAGGGTATAATATTTGATCAACTCAAATCGATTCGATTAAATATTAGATAAATCTTAGCACATTTATCTCTTCTGTATTTATCTCTAGTTCTGTCTAATCGAGTTCACCCAATACATACTCAAACATGATACATCGACTGGATTGGATAAGAGATACATTTATCTCGTAAGTCTCTTCTTTAATGGGAAAATTAGGCCAAATACCCTAAAAAATTAACTAATTTGATTAATACCCTATTAACTAACTAAATTATTTAAAAACGCAATTAATACGTTATAAAATCTCCCGACCCCTGAATACGACCAATTCATGGCTACTAAAATCGATGGAGTTCAATTGGGAGTGGAGAGAGTGTTAATAGGAACAGGTTGCAACAGAAAAGTGAGCAACGTTTCATTTGGTGCATGTGATTTGGTCTCTTTTGGAACCCAAAATGCTGCTTCCATGTTTTGCCCAAAAGTTTACTTCCTTTCTCACTGTTTATTGCTATCCATGTAAATTCCAGCACGAAAATTCAAGTAATTTAGCTTTGATGCTCACGTAATCAATCAATTTTAGTATAAGCTGATGAGTTTGTGTATAAATGCATAAAAAATTTGTCGTTAAATTTGGGATTAGCTCCAAAACTATGGCAAACTATTTCCTTTGATTTTCTAAGCTACCATCAAGATGTTTGACAAAATGTCTCAATTGTTCTTGCACTCATTTTTCTCACCGTTGTAGGAGCGGTGGTTGCCAATTCCTTGTCAAGCATATCTCCATCTTCATCACCTTTACTTTTGCAGGATTACTGGGGGCTAGTGAACCTACATACGATTTGTCTGTTGGAATGTAATTACATTGTCAGATAGTAAAGCTCGGGCTTTATTATACGAATTTTACTGGAAACACTTTGATTGCCATGTACTCAAAGTTTCATCTTATTGAAGAAGCAGAGATGGTGTTTAGGCTGATTGTGAAGAGAGATGTTATTTTGTGGAA